TTCCAGCAAGAAGAAGGAGGAGGCGCATCGTGTGCTGAGGTCACCTACTTTCTGCAAAGTCAAATGTAACAGACCTCTGCCCATTGTTCAAAAACAATGGGCAGAGATGCCATTAGTTCAAAAACAATATATAGAAAGAGCCTGATGGTATGATGTATTATTGCTAAGTTGCTACATCGACACCTTGGATCACAAACTGCTCTGCAAAACGTCACTGGAGTGTAGAGAACTGGGTTCGTGTCCGCTGAATTCACAAATATTGCCCCTTAATGTGGAAATGGAGTGGAGGAGTCTGGGTTTGGGAGACGCCACGAGTGCATTGTGTCATAATGTCTGGTTCAGAGTGAGGATAGCATTGGGCTGTTTTTCTGTTAATTCTGAGGATTGCCTGCTTGCACTAAATTTATAATCAAAATATTACAACAAAACAATAAATCTTTTCGCACAGAAATGTGAGCTGAATGAAAAGTTTTTTTTTTTTTTTTTTTCCATAGATGCTTGAAGGTTGTGCTTTCAAAAAGTACTTGTGATTTTACAAGCTCATGGCGTTCTCATGGACTAAGTACCAAGCACGGAACTCTCATCTCGTTAAAATAATAATCAAATGTGGAAAAAACCCTGACAAAGTTGGTACCAATTTTATATTTCACAGCCTTCAGCACAAAACACACATCCCAGACAAAGCTACGTTGCAAACATGTGAAAAGATTCGACATTTCTTCCCTGTAGACACGAGGAAAACCTTAACATCCCAAACGTTTAGTATCTGTTGCGACATAATCCATTTGATGTGAACAACAGCCTCTTCCATCAGCTCTGAGATTATTTTGTGCTCTAACATCAGTTTCAAATGATGCGTTGAGCTGGCGTTTCCGTCACGATTTGAATTAAATCCTAAGCATTTACTCTCTTGTTATCTGAGTTTGATTGAACATAAACTTTGCACAGCTTCTCTGTAATTATGTTGGATCATTCACCTGAACGCAGCTGCGAGTTGCTTAGATGCGTTTACTTTTCTATGAAGGGAAATGTTACCGAAGGACTCAAGATTAGATTTAAATTAAGCTAAGGAAACAACACCCACAGCTGTTCTGCCACTCTAGTGCTGAATTTCATGTTGCTTTCCTCTGTAATGAGTCCCTGAAGAAGAAAACAAAATAGCATCTGTGTTTTAACCAGCTGGAATAATCACCTTGGTGTCTTGACAGGGCGTTCCCATGATCATTTCAGAAAAAAAGTAAAAACCAAACGCAAGAACTTACAGTAAATGTTTCATTTAGGTCCTACTGGGCCTGCAGAGAGACAGGTGAAACTAAAATGATATCTGATTCGCAGATTCTTTAAGATAAAAGGACAACAAAGACGCTCTAATTGTAACATGATTTGTTTTTGTAATATTTTGTGATAAATCATTTTGAGGTTTTACAAATGTGGTTATTTTCATGTTTCTAGTTTTGTGTTTTAATTATGTGTAAACTTCCAGGATAATTCTGACTTGATCTATCTGAACAAAAAAAAAAAAAAAAAAAAAAAAAAAAAAAAAAAAAAAAAATAAATTTTTTTAAAAAACCCCGGAAAAT